CCCCACAAGCCTCTGGCTGACCCCCTTGTTGTGCCTCTGGCACCCTGCCCCCCAGTTCCCTTATCGGGCCCCAGGGCTGCTTCTTCCTCCACTCCCCTGGCTGCCCCCCCACTGGGCCTTGGGGTACCTGCCCCTGCCCCCCAATCCGCTGACTGGCCTCTCACTGGGTCCTGCCTCCAACTTCTTGCTTCCCCTGGGCTCCCTGACACCTAATCCCCTTGCTGGCCCCAACAACCCCTCCCTACCCCTGTGCCCCTGAATTCCTGATTCCCTTGCTGCTCTCCACCGTGACCCTTTGCTGTCCCCTCAGATCCCCTTGCTGCCCTGGCACCTTGCTCCCTTGCTGTCTCTTCCTAATGCCCTAGCACATGGTCCCTTCTGCCGTCTCCCCCTCTATGCCCTTCCTTGCCTTCCTTTCCTCCCTGGGATGCCGTCAATCTGTCAGCTTCCCGGGTCCCTAACTTGCTGCTCGCTTCTTGTGTGTCTCACTTTCTCGCTGAGTTCGGCCCTCCCCACCCTATCTGCTCCCGGCTTGCAGATGGCAGGAGATTCCCACAGGCAAGCTCTGGTCCAGCCAGCCGCTGGAGCGTGGCAAGACGGGGAAGAGGATGCTGAATTCATAGCTCTTGCCCCACTGCCTACATCCATGTGAAGTGGGTGCAAAGCGTGCCCCTGGCAGGTGTGGCGCAGTCAGCACTGGAGGGCACGGTGCCAGGTGCGAGGCAGTGGCCTCGTCTGGGGTGGAAGAGTAGTGGAGAGGGGATGTGGAGCAAGTCCACCGTGTGTTTCAGCCTGGCTCTGAAGTTACCCAAGAGATTGGGGTGGTTGGAGGCTAGAAGGTCTGGAAAGCGGGGAGGAAAGGCTTGAAGGAACCCAGGTGGCCGTACTTAAAGGGTTTTCTTGCAAACACATTCCTGGCAGGTCCGGCTGGCACGGAGATGGTGTAGAAGTAGCAGGAGATCTCGGTCCAGGAGAGGCATTGTGTGTTAGCAGGGAGGGGTACCCTTTCTCTAGCCTGGCCTTGTTGGACACCTTCAGCTGCAGGGTAGTGAGTTCTCGGCAGGAGCATGGCCAGGCAGGAAGGTGGAAGCTCTGTATTAAAGCTAGAGATGAGCAAAAGCAGAGGAGGAGACTTGTCCCCTTGTTTTCTCCTCGGGTCCCCTGCTTGGCCTCCAGTGCTGCTAACCCTGCATACAGCTAACGGCCGCCTCCTGGCAAGTCTAGTCTGCTGCGGGTTCTCAAAAAAACAAGCTGCGAGCAAGTGCCGTGAACTGTCCCCCATTAGGAAGCACCCATTTATAGCAGCCCTCAGCGAGAACCTAAGAATTGGTTCCTCTTGAGCTTCTGAGGGCCTCTGTTTCATTCTGTGTGGTTGCTGGCTTTCCGGTCCAGCCTTTGCCTAGACTGAGTTTAATTGCTCTGTGGCAATCTCATAGCAGCATTTCCACATCCCAGCCCCTTGCTGGGTGGGAAGGGTGTTCGTCGGCTCAGGGAAGCCTAGTACAGAACACGGATCTGCCTGTTAGGTAATAGGAAAGGTGCCAGCATGTTGCATTTGCCATGAGTTAAAATGAAAGCGTCTGACTCGGTTATTTTGTTGGTTTATTTAATCCCAGGCCTGCCCAGCATCTTGGCTCCTTTCAGTAGTTAAATGAAGACCTTCAGGTTGTCCAGGAGAGAAGAGTAACTAATGCAAATGGTTGAGCTGCAGGAATTCTCAGTTATAAATGCTGAGAATAAAAACTCCAGGGCTAGCCCAGCTGGAAGGAGAAGAGGGGATCCAACCTGTGCTTATGCTTGGGGGCCAGTAGTTAGTTCTGATTTATTTACTTTTGTGTGTCCTTCCACTTTCTGTTCTGGGACAGGAAGTGGAAATACCACGGCAAGGCTGTCTTCCTGATTTGAACTTGGTCAGAAGCAAGAGGGGTTACAGATCTCGAGCTACTGCCATAGGGGGTCAGAGTTCAGAGAAGCAACTGGTTTCTTTGGCTTCGGAGCCAATTTTTTTTTTAAAGATTTTTCCCTTTCAGCCATCTAATTCATGCCGTTTGGATTCAGAGGCAGATTTCAGACTCATTGAAGCAGGATCTTGATCACGCCAGCCTGAATTTGGAGGAATCTCGCTGAATTCAGTAGAGCTAGTCTAGGTTTACACAAGAGTGAATTGTCAGCCCAGAATAACACCCCTTACTAAGCCTACGTTTCGGCATTTCTTGCAATTACCTGGTACTTGCCTGCACTGCACAGGGTTTGCTGGTAGAGCTACTGGATATCCGCCCTAGGGGAGACTTAGCTTCTGCCAGTCTGTGAGGGGGTGCACTCACCACCATAGCCCCCCTGCCGTCTGTCCTCAGGAATTGGCTCCCTCGGCGGGTAGGGTGCCTTCTCTGGGGTGGTGTCTCCCCTCTTTACTCCCGGCTGCGGCGTCCTCTTCGCCCCACTGCCCTCCGGCAGTGCCCAAGTCTGTCTCTGAGGTCGATGTTCCTTCGTCGGGCCTTCCTTCAAGCCCTGCAGTCTGGGGATTTGCTGGCCAGAGCTCCCCTAGCCCTGCCTGGCTTCCCCAGCCCTGTCCTAGCTCCAGGGAGCCTCCTCCTCCCCCAGCAGCCAGGTTCTCACTACTCTCCCCCTTAGCAGCAGCCCCTCCTCTATTATAGCTCCCAGCTAGGCCCTGATGGACTAGTACAGCCTCAGCT